TCTCTAATAAGTGGTATGAATTTTCTGGTCACCCGAACCACACCAAACACGTTCACATCATACACCTTAACAAAGTCGTCAAACGCGCCCCATTCCAAGTGCCCGTACGTCAGTACACCCGCGTTGTTGACCACTGACCACAACACACGGTTACTGGTCTGTAGATCCGCGACAACAAACTCGTGGCACCGATTGATGTCCTCATCTATAGTAACATCCATTCGCACAATACATATCTCGTCCTTAAACTGGCATTTATTGCTCAGATCCTGAGCTCCGGTACTGTTTGTGTCCAAAACACACGCATAGACTCGGAATCCCATTGAGTTTAATCGAAACGCCAATGCATTGCCGAAACCAGAATCGCAGCCTATTTTATGATAATTAATTTAACAATATGAAAATATAGTCTACGTTAAAACAATTATATTTATAATATTATGTGTTAATAATTAAAAATAATAATTTTTTAACTAGAATTTTTAACTTTTTTAATTAATTTAATAAATAAAAATTTATTTGTGAATAGTAAAATTATTAATTAAAACTAAATAAAACAACAAGTTTAATTTACCTGTGATTATAACCGCTTTGTTTTTAGCACTAATTTTTTGCCAAAACATTATTTACAATGAAACTTTGTTTTATAACAATGTTTTAAATTAAAACAATATCATTATTTAAGACTTATTTAATGTTAAATAATCATTTGATTATTTTAAATTTTTAGTACAATTAATATATTATATATAAATATTTTACATTAAAAATTTAGTTCAGATTAGTTTAATATAATATTTTACTCAATTATGAAAATATTAGTTTTAATAATGTTTAACCATAAATATATTTTAATAACCAAACAAGTAACTTCATGAACACATTTTAACTAGTTTTTAATGTGATTTTGTTTTATGTTTATGATAATATGCTAAATATTATAATTATGGAAATACCAGTCGCAGTGTCCAAGGGCTTATTTAATCATTGCAAACACACAATGCCATATACAATACCTATCGTTTAGTGTGTGATTACATCATGGTTGTATTTACTAGAACAGGTAGACGTTAGTGATATCGGCGATAGTCTGTATTTTAATATTGACTAATTTCAGTGGAAAAACTAACAAAAATTTTAATAAGTAATAATTTTTAATGATTGAATTATAATTGCCATAATTTATCATACTGCTTAATAGCAATAATAATATCAATACTATACAAAAAGTACAGATTTAAATTATAAATAAACAAAACACAATCCTTGGTAAAAGTGTAAATAAACTAAAATTGATATTTACACAAATTGAACAATAAGGTAATTTAAATACTTTATTTTTATATAAAACCACAATAAAAATAATTATTTGTATTCTTTGTATTCTTTGTAATATTATTTGTAAATATTTATTATTATAATTACTTAAATAATTGTAAAATATTTGTAAGATAAGAAATAACCATCTCAAGATTTAGTTAAAAAACAACTTTTGAGATGTATTAACATTAATGTTTAACATCTGACCCGTTTGTCTCAGTCACAACCACCGGTACCAGAGGGTTAATTGAGCGAAAATACGAGTCGATCATCCACTGTGGGGTTATGGCTACAAACCGAGCCGCTAGGCTAGGCATCAGGCCCTTCACGGGCCGGTAATTCCTGGCCGGTCGGCGCCGGATAACTGCCGCCACCATATCGTTCACCACTATATCAATATCATTGCCGGCGTCGGCGACCAGACCTCCACCGCCAGCAACGATGCGCAACGCTTCGTCGATATAGGTCTGGCCGTAGATCCGTTGAATATCTGGGTCAGTACAGCTCCAGGAACTTTGTAATAGGGGGCAAGCGTTGTTAACCATGCTCGTTTTAAATACGCCAGGTTCAACCGTGGTGACCGAGATGTTAAACTTGCTCATTTCACGCCGTAATGAGTCCGAGAATGATATGATCGCCGCTTTTGTCATACAGTAGGCGCCGAGCATATCCGCCGCCACCCGACCCCCCAAACTGGCAGTTATTATTATACGGCCTGTTGTTTAGATGCAATTTAAACACTTTAGCTATATTATACTTTACTATTATTATTCTATTTATTTTAGTTACTTATTATAAGTTATAAC